CACACACACATACACACACACACACACACACACACACACACACACACACACACACACACACACACACACACACACACACACACACACACACACAAACACACACACACACACACACACACACACACACACACACACACACACAGAGGAGCGCTAACGACTTAAGCACTGGTGATGTTACCTGGCTCCTGCGGCCGTCGTCCGCGGGGACCATCAGGTTACTGACTGACAAGAACCTGCGGACAGAGAGAGCGTCAGTGATTGGCCAGTACCCATAATGCACTGCTCAGGTGTGGGACTCACTTCTCCAGGATGGGCTCCAGCAGTGCCAGCCCCGCCTGCACCTCCTTCTCTGGGTTACCAGTCTCCACCATAGTGCTGACGCAGGCGATGTACTTCCCTTCAGACGCCACATTATGAGTGTAGGACACCAGACACACGTACACATCTGCACGCACACACACACACACACACACACACACACAGTTACAGCACTCGAGCGTCCCCTACACTGCAGAAACGCTTGTCTGATTACAGTAATGCAGTCAGGTGTCTGCTAAAGTGGGCCGGTCTGAGGTGTAGATCTGACCTGACTTGCGGTTGAGCTGCGCCTGCGGGATGATGATCTGGCAGGAGTTGGCCTCATGGGTGTTTTTGATGGGGTGGTTGAGCAGGCACAGCACCCGCACCACCCGGCCCACCTTCTTGACCCGCTCCGGCAGGTAACTGGGGTCAGAGATGAGCTGCTTACAGCGGAAGACCTGCAGGAGTACACAGAGCGTCAGACCGGCTCGTGACCTGCTGACGAAGGAGCGTTCAGTGTCTAGTGCGGTAAAGCTTGTCCATGCTGTGATGAGCTCTCGTTAGCCTACACTAATGTTACCTGTGTGTCCTATCTCTCAGCACTGCTTCAGCTCCCTATTGAACATCGGATACATGCTCAAACCTCACTGACTCCCTGCAGAGCCCTGGACAGCTGAGCTCCAGTACTTGAGGAGCTGCTGGAGTATTGAAGCCCCTCATGCTCACTACGCTCATCTCATCCTGGATTAATAGATTATTCCTAGAAACACACTTCCCAACAAGACAGCGTGACGTGAACGGCATCTCCGCTTATGGTAGTCGGTTTCTCCTCCTCCGGTCTCCATAGTCCTGGACCCGCCTGTATCCTGAGCAGATTCCTCGCTGCTGGTCTGCTTGGTTAGTGTGTCTGCATCGCTGGATTTGCTCTTCAGTGTTTGGGCTTCCAGCAGTGACGCTTACTGATCTGAACTGAACTCTGGACTGAAGCAGTTTCAGCCGGTTTACTAGACCTTATCTGTGTTCAGCTGCTGTGACTCAGTCTACACTGTAGAAGCGCTGAAGAAAAACAGAGGAACTGTAGAGAGTGTTTCTGCTCACCTCTCCCTCCGACCGCACTGCCGCCACCCGCCCGCCCTCCAGCACCACCTCCTCCACCCGTCTGTTCAGCAGGAAGCTGTTCCCGTAGACAGCACTGAGCCTGCGGACACACACACACCTTTTACATCACACACTGACACACACTGACCCACACTGACCCCTGCCTGATGCACACTGACGAACACTGGCCCCACATCTGACACACTTGCAAACACTGACCCCACATCTCTGACCCACACTGACCCCACATCTGACCCCAGTCTGACCCACACTGACCCCAGTCTGACCCACACTGACACACACTGACTCCACATCTGACCCACACTGACCCCAGTCTGACCCCAGTCTGACCCACACTGACACACACTGACCCCACATCTGACCCACACTGACCCCATGCCTGACCCACACTGACCCCAGTCTGACACACACTCACTGACACTGACTCTGACAACACTGACAAACAGTCTGACCTATGCCTAACCCACACTGACCCCAATCTGACCCACACTGACACACACTGACCCCACATCTGACCCACTCTGACCCCACATCTGACCCACACTGACACACACTGACCCCACATCTGACCCCACACTGACCCCAGTCTGACCCACACTGACACACACTGACCCCACATCTGACCCACACTGACCCCAGTCTGACCCACACTGACCCCACATCTGACCCACACTGACCCCAGTCTGACCCACACTGACCCAGTCTGACCCACACTGACCCCACATCTGACCCCAGTCTGACCCACACTGACCCCAGTCTGACCCACACTGACACACACTGACTCCACATCTGACCCACACTGACCCCAGTCTGACCCACACTGACACACACTGACTCCACATCTGACCCACACTGACCCCAGTCTGACCCACACTGACACACACTGACCCAGTCTGACCCACACTGACCCACACTGACCCCACATCTGACCCACTCTGACCCCACATCTGACCCACACTGACACACACTGACCCCACATCTGACCCACACTGACCCCAGTCTGACCCACACTGACACACACTGACCCCACATCTGACCCACACTGACCCCACATCTGACCCACACTGACCCCAGTCTGACCCACACTGACCCCAGTCTGACCCACACTGACACACACTGACCCACACTGACCCAGTCTGACCCACACTGAAACACACTGACCCCAGTCTGACACACACCGACTGACACTGGTCCCCGTCTGACACACTGACACCAGCCAACCCACGTCTGATGTGGACTGACACACACTGACCCACATCTGATGCCCACTGACACACACCGACCCATGCCTGACCCACACTGACCCATGTCTGATGCACACTCACTGACACTGACTCTGACAACACTGACAAACACTGACCTATGCCTAACCCACACTGACCCCAATCTGACACACACTGACCCACACTGACCCCTGTCTGATGCACACTGACAACACTGACACACACCAACCCACGCCTGACCCACTGACACATATCTAACCCACACTGACCCCAATCTGATGCACACTAACAACACTGACCCCCATCTGACAGACTGACCCACAGTGACACACACTGACCCAGGTTTGAACCCCACTGAAAACACTGACCCATACTGACCTAAAATTTACCCACACTGGCCCATGTCTGACCCACACTGTCACACGTCTAACACACAATGACACACACTGACTCATGTCTGACCCACAGTGAAAACACTGACCCAGACTGACCCACATTGACCCCCGTCTGACCCTCAGTGAGTGCTGTGTGAACCTGAGCTCACCTGACGAACCCCTGCGGCAGCTCCCCGAGGCCAAACAGCGGGTACAGGTACGGGCTGAGGCTGTAGCGGGCCAGAGACTCTGAGTACAGCTTGATCCGGTTGATGGTCAGGAGACACGGCTGCTCCAGATACCTACACACACACAGAATATGTAGAGTACAGAAACACTGCTGTATGAGTGCTGTATGCTGCGCTACTGTCCAACACCGCTGTATGGTGTGTGTGTGTGTGTGTGTGTGTGTGTGTTAAAACACCATAGCAACATATTGTATAGTTATATAAGTGTTCTCACTCGTCATTAGCGTGCAGCGCTAGGGCATGTCCAGTGAACTCCACTACATCGTCCCCTAAGTCAAAGTGTCGGAACACCTCCCGCATGCTGGTGTTGCGCGGGTCCATGTCGTGGTGCGTCCGCGGGTCGCTCTCATCGAAGTTCAGCACAAAACTTAGAAACTTGCGGAACCTGCGCTTGTCGAACATCCCCATCAGATCTGCAGGAGCACACAGAGTCAGAACACTACAGAGTGCACACTACAGAGAACAATACAGTCAGCACTACAGTGAGCAATACAAAGAAACACTACAAAGTGAACACTACAGTGAACACTCCAGAGTAAACACTACAGTAAGCACTACATAGTGAGCACTACAGCACACACTGACCTGAGGCCTGTGTCTCCGCCTCAGTGATCGGCACTTTGTGGATTTTCCCGCCCTTGTAGACAAAGTTTCCCTCGACCACCTTAAAGTCCAGATAACGAGTGACCTCACTGTACAGCAGCATCTTCACCAGCTGACCTGATTGAAGACAGTCTCCGATCAACAACACACAAGCACATGCTCACACACACACTCTCTCTCTCACGCTCACTCTTTCACACACACACACACACACACACTCACTCACCGTTGGCGAGGAGGAATTTGGGAATGAGGTCCACGTTCCAGTCCTTTCCGCGCCCCATCAGCTTATCAGGAGCAGGAACACGAAACCTGCTGTAGAGCTGCTCACACACACCAGTCAACAACAGTCAGTGTGTGTGTGAGTGAGAGTGTGTGTGTGTGTGTGTGTGTGTGTGTGTGTGTGTGTGTGTGTGTCTGACCTCCTCCAGTGGTGATATGGATGCGCTCTCTCCTCCATAGTACGGGTTTGAGTCTAGATGAAGAACCTTCTTCCCATTGGCCGACATCAGACCCGACAGAACACACTCCTGCAGGCAGCACACGTCATTGATCAGACAGGTTATTGATCAGACATTATATTGATCAGACGTTATATTGATCAGACATGATA